GGGAAAGAGATTACAATGTAAAACTAATAATAATAAGAGAATATTTGGTAGGATATAGGAAATTGCATAATAATACTAAGAGAATATTTGGTAGGATATTAGTCTTGATAACTAACTCTTAACAGTTGGAATAGATTCGAACATTATCAATGGATACGAATTTACTTGTTATCCCTAGTTAAGAAGGGGAATTATGCACTCAATGACCATAATTACATTAATACAACATACTCGTTTATACGCACCAATGACACACCCTACTTGAAGAAAGTTTGTTTAAGCAAACTAATATATATTGTCCTTAAGCACGAAATTGATGTGACTTATCATTATTTCTAACATATAAAAGTCATATTTGTAATTTTAACCTATTGTCATGTACACTAACCTAATCCACTTTAGGAAAAGTGACAACATATAGAGCAACCTTTACATTTTCTATGTTCATCCTATTCTTTTCATCCAAATTTTGTTCTACCATAACCATGAGCGCCTAATTATTGGGTGTTAATGTAGCTAATTAACTTGAAACCATGTGTTTTTCTATTATTAAGATTCAATTAATTGTTTCTCTTTCTTTCTCTTAATGTTTTGACTTATCACTTATCATCTAATTTCTTGAGATTAATGTTATTACAAATACTTTTAAAATAACAAATCATAAAAGAAACCTAGTAAAATTTATTGATAGAGATAGTGTAATATTTATTAGCCAGAATTTTGACCTTTAATTTTAGTGAAAATTACTTTCTTAAATTTTGTAAAGAATTCGATGGATTAACACAAATTGGAACCTAATTAATATTCAATTGTCTAGTACATTCTCAACTTTTCTTTTTTTTTTTTTTTACAATTTTTTTTATAGAAACCTCAAGTTCTTTATTATAATTAAATCAAAACTATTTTTCTTAAAATTTCTGATAAATTGGAAAAATCCTAAAATTACAACTTTATTGTTTTCCTTAAAAATTAAGTCTTTTATTGTTTCAAATAATTTCTAAATATCCCTTTTTGTTATTTAGCATAAAATTGAATTTGAGTGAATGTTAATGACGTAAGTTTTTGGAGATTCGATACTTATAGTAATATGTCCATTTTACTACTTGTCAATTTTGATACGCTTTCCAAATTCTTAAAAATTGTTCTAAAACTGCATGCATAACATACGTATTCCAAACCGATATCAAATATAATGTTATATTAGTGTGATCATGATACTTCTTACAAGTACTTATTATACTAGCTGACATGATCCCTTGGTATAGTTAACACTAACCGATGCGAATTCTGTCTATCCATATCTCACATAATTTAAAATCATCAATCTCAAACTTGAATTCCTATAAACACGTAAAAAATAATCTATCTTGGTTTATTTTTCCTTAATGCTCCCTTAGCCCCCTAATATATAAGGTTGCTACCTCAATTTTGATTCTTTTTTTTTTTTTTGAGAGGTCCTCAATTTTGATTCATCAAACTTCCTTCCACCAATTTTCTTCTCTTCCTATCTTTGTTTCTTCAAAAAAAAATTAAGCTTTATCTCTTGTTTTCCATGTCAACGTTTCCAATAAACCATTATTAGCAGAAGATACAATCTACAGATGCAAATTAATTCTTAATTATTAACTTAAAAATATAGCATAAATTATGTTTATAAAAAAATAGTTATTATATGTGAATCAAGTATTGAAATTTGTTTTTATCAAATTAGTCTCTCAATATTAATAAATTATATAAATGTTGGGAAAAATCGATGAGTTTTTAATATTTTAGGAATTATTTATATAATTTTATTATTTAATAATACTTAAAAGATCAAATTGATGACGTATTCACAAGGTTTCTTATAACTTCATTTTCATACTCAACATTAATCACTCCTAACTCTTTTTCTATCTTCCATATTTTTAGGACCACAAAAAAAAAAAAAAAGCTTTTTTACCTCATTTTTAAATTTGATGAAATAGAATTATTGACCTCTTTATTTTCCTATTCCATCTACGCTATTAGTTGAATTTTATCTTCCTTCTTCTTATTATTGTTATTATATATATACAGAGTTCATTTGAATAAAAAAAATTATAAGTACTTAATTATAGAAGAAGAACATGATAAGAAAAATAAATATATATAAAAAATCTCTATTAACTTATACATAAGTTAAAATATATTTTTTTAAAAAGATTCTTACAAATTAACTTATACACGAATTAAATTTATTTTTTTTATCAGCAAAGAAAATATATATTAATAATACTATATGAAAGGACAGATACAAAGATAAGAACATTTAGAACATCTTTCATCCTAGTAACCTACGCATTATTTTATCCCAACACCTTAAATTCTATTCCTTACACGAATTAAATTTAGTTTTCAAAAAACATATATTTATTTTTTTTCTTCTTAATTTCTCCTCCTATAAGTATGTATATGGCAAAAAATTATCTCAACAAGTACAGTGTCCTACCTATCTTTACTTGCCACGACAATTAATATTTCTTCATTGATCTACACTTCTTCACGTGCTTAATTATGAATTTTTTTTTCACCACACTTACAATAACTTTTTAGTTTAAAATTATTTCGGTAATCAGTATATATACTTCACACACACACATATATATATATTGTCATTTGAACCCTCCTCATATATATATATATATATATATATATATATGAAACATAAAAATATGAAAAAGCTTGTCACTATTTAATCGATGCGATATTTAAGTAGGTGATATATAAAGATAAAACTAAAAAATAATATAAAAAAAATTGTTTGTATATATTTTAATCGTATGGTTGATATTTATTTTATTAATAAAACTTATTTATATTTTTAAATTTTTTATTTTTAAATATCATATTATTAAGTGTCTTAAGAATTAAGTATGAGTAAATGATAAAATTTAATGGTTAATAGATGTTAAAGTAATAAGAGGTCCAAAATTTTATTTTTAAAAATTAAAAAAAATTAAATATTTTTTATTTTAAAATAAAATAATAAAAAATTACAGATTAATAAAAATAGAGAGTTGAAAAGTATAATTTAATTAAATCTATTTTAAACTGTTTTCTTTACTTTTTGACTATTTAAATATTAACTTAATTAAGTACACCCAAAAAAAAAAATTAATGATTCATTATTTGATTATTTGACACGTGGATTTTTGGAATTAAATAAAGTTTAAATCGCGCGTTCATGATTCTCTTCCCACGTAAAACGGTTAGGGTCTCTTCGTATATAAACCTAAGTACTCTATTTAATACATTAGGCCATCTTTAAGGAGTATATGTATATGTAGAAGAAAAAAAAAATGAAATAGAGTAAGAGAAAAAGAAAAGGACAAGTGGCTAGGTTTAATCAAAATAAGTTTTCTATTTTCTTCCCCCTTCCTCTCTATCTCTCTTCATTGTTCTTCTGCATTTGCAGCTACATCAGTTTCTTCCTGTACCTTCTCCTCACCAATAAATAAAATATAAATACAAGAAAAGGGCTAAACAAAATTGTTCATGAACTCAGAAAAGCTTCCGAAAGGAACTTATAGTAGAACTATATATAGGGCTTTTTCTTCTTCTGCTTGAATATATTTATATAATACCACCTCTCTATTTCAGAAAAGATGATGAAGTTGTCATTGTCACCGTGGGTTGTAATTAAACTAAATCAAACTAGCTAGAGACAAGAAGGGAACCAATGAAAATTAGGCTTTTCCTTTGCCATTCCAATCTGGTATGCCTAATGTGAACTCCAAGCTTGGGTTCTTGCACTCTATATTTGATCCTGACAAGCTGTTCTTCAGTTGGTTTGAATCACACTCCTGGCAAGGGAAATGATCGATTCATGAATGAGATATGAAGTGATAACAACAAACAAACTTTAACCAATGTTAGTACCTGAATTTGATGCCCTCCTGATATTGGTTGTGAGTGGAAGATGGGGGGTCTGAAACCATCTATGTCGTTAGAGCTATTTTGTGGCCATGGTTCTCTATTGCTGATCAATTTCATTAGGATCAAGCAAGCAATTAAAAAGAAACTGCATTAGTTCCATTGCTTCTAAAGATACCAAATCATCATCTGTTGAATAGCAATGCGTTGCAAAACTTCACCACATGTATGCTTTGTATCGAATTAGACTGAGATCATGTTTGGATATAAATTTAGAAGAATTTTTTAAAAAAACAAATTTAAAAAAACTATTTATTTTCAATAACAAAATTCTCAAAAAAATCCTTTTAAATTTGCATCCGAACATATACTCTAATTTTCATTCCAAAATCATACAACAAAGAACTACGGGAAAAGCGATTTCAGTCAATTCATAATAAATGCCCTTTCTGGAGCAGCTGAGCTTGGTGTGCAGGGAATACAAAATATATATTTTGGTATACTTAAGGTAGGACATAGTCGGTAGGAGTGGAAATTTCCATTCTGGTTGAAGAAACTAATATATCATATATTCATATGTCCCAAATGAATTGTAACACCAAAGCACTATCATTATGGTCGTGCAATAGTGTGAAAAAGCTTGGACTTGAATAGCTCAAAGTTTTCTGGGTTGAATCCACTCTATTGTGTTTCTGTGTGTACTTGCTGATTTTGTTTTAGATATTCTCTACAGGAAATAATCTTATTCGTGCTCCAAACTTAAGAACTTGTTTAAGGAGAATCAGATATGTATCAGTTGAACCAACCACTAATTGATACTCTTCACTGTGTGCTTGGTGAAACATACATGAAGCTTTCGGTTCATTTTCATTCTTAATCAGCAAACCCAAAACTACTTTAATGAATTACATGAAATGTATTGTAAAAGTATCAAAACAATAATTGATCATAGCATCGGCATATCAGTCAACACGGCATTAAAAAAGATATATATATGTTGTCTAATCACTGTCACGAAATATCTTCCATATATTTAATGTAGAGCTTGAAATATTGTTACTTTATCTCAGAGGTAGTTAAGATATCAAGACCTGGAGGAGAAAAACTAATTTAGCTCTATTGTCTATAATTTCAAAGATGGAATCACATTACATGCATATATAAATTCAAAAAAGTGTCTTACTTAAGTGGAGAAAATTTTAATTTTGCCTTTTTTATATGAAACTATCTATGACCTACTATGCATTGTCTTCTACTTTTATTAACCAGTTATTTGTTGGGAAATGCATATATGATTAATTATTTGATATGCCATGTATAAACATCAAAATATTGGATGAAGAAAAGAAGAGAATAAATAACTTCATCAAACCAACTTAAAAATTTTGGTTGTTAAATTAATTTTCTTTGTGTAAACTATATTTTATATAGCTTTTTTTACGAGTACTGTCAATATTCCCACGCGCTATATAAAAGGAACAATAAAGGACTTATATTGATGTGGTCAGGCTAGGCACATGCTAACTGTCAGTTATACGTACAATATATCTCCATTATAACTTACAATTATGTGCCGTTTGCAATGATCAAACATGACGTTTATTTAGTGAAATTATTAGACCATTAGTTTAACTTTACTAATTCAACAAGAAATGGTTTGAGTAAACCCTGAAACCGAATGAGAGAGGCCTCTAAATTTTTAGAAGATCATGATTACGAAGACGCATGAATATAGATTGTTCAAGAGAATGTCAAAAGTAGTAAACAATTAGGAAGATTTATAGATAAACCCGCTGAAAGACACCCTCTCCCCTTCCAAAAAACAAAAAAAGTTACCAGCTATCTTTACTTGCAAAAGAGGCAATTCATCCCCTTGGAGCATAAATCTGTCTTTTGTTCTTTTTTCTTTTTTGGGGAGGGGGGATATGAACTAGTGTACATGTGTATGCATGTTTCCCTTGTCATGCTCGTCACTTAATTATTCTAATATAATTTGTGCAATGAGTAGTTTTACATTGGATGAGAATTTATCCATCATTTTTTGTCGCGACATCTTCAAGATAAAAGCAAAGAAACACCATTTCAAGAAAAAACTTAAGTAGATGCACACTTTCCCTCACTATATTATATATTTCAAAATACATTGTTAAGTAGTAATAATCTTGAAGGAAGACACACTCAATAAGAAGGATTTAACCATTTGTGTTTTATGCTGAGAACAACAACTATAGTTTTCACAACATTCAATAATTGAAACCAAATATTCATTGAGAATAGTTACTAGGTAGTAATAGGACACACACACTCATACACACTTCTAAAGGCAGAAAAGAGAGGGGGCAAAAAGAAAAGCGATTGAGAAGCTGCGGGTTGCTTTCCTTTTATCCTAATTAACGTTGGATTATGTCTTGTAGCTTTCTTTTGACATTGCTACACATCTCTAAGGCAAAAAAATTAACCAAGGTACAAATATATAAAGGAAACAAAAGAAAGAAGGAAATCAAACCCAAGTAAAGCAAAAGCTGTAACAAGAACCCTTTTTATTCTTCATAAAAAAGAGTGTGGTGGACGTGGGTATGCGTTGATTTCTATGAGATACCATGCAAAAGCAAAAGCAAATCAAGTAACGCAGCGTCCCAAAATAAATATTAAATATTTTACGTCTATATATGCACACAAAACATATGAAACAACGTGTAGATTATATATGGAATCTAATGCCAATATGTTACCTTGAGGAGTTACTCCATAGAGTGTTGGCCGAAGAGTAATCCATATCTTGTTGCACTGGTCGATCCGAAAGGCCTCTTTGGTCTGAAAATTGACGCACACCACCACTGCTTCCTATTGGAGACATGTCATCTTCTCCGGATCCATCTGAAAGGCCTATAGCAATAAAAACAATGATCATTCAGATTTTAAATTCCAACATGGTTGTATATATTAATATATGTATGCATGCATGCACGCATTTTCATAATTTTTATATAATTTGTTTTGGAGCAATGTGGGGAGTGTTATGTATTGGCTATCTCATATATATCTTAGTGAAAAGCCTTGAAAGGTTCGCATAGAGCTTAAGGGTAAGAAACAACAGAAAAAAAGGGAATACTTGCGGTAAAAAACAAAAAAGTAGCTGTAAAAAAATGACTGAAAAGAACAAGGTAAGTGGCATTTTCATTTATTTAGTTTTACATAAAACCAAAACATATATTTGTGCAAAAAAAACAAAAGATATAAGACTGCTCAAAAAAGAGAGGAAAAAAAAACTGGTTGAAAGTTGAGCAACACGAATTACCTGAAGAAGCAGCAGGCTTATCAGTGGTCTTAACCGTTCGATACATCTGGGAAGAAATCACAAAAACAAGGCATTTTCATTTCCACACTTTAGTTTAAAGTGAAAATACAACAAGTACAGACACAGTATATATATACTATATACATATATATAGATATTAATTTTTCATGGAATAAATTGAAGAAAAATAATAAAATAGCTGTTGAATCCCATTTAGATCCCCTTCCATTGTCTTTCTCTCTCTCTCTCTTATATGTTACTATAGCGTCTGGATTGTCTCATTAATCACGAGGTTGATGTTTGATAATAAGGAGGTAATGAGAGGTGTATTATTGGAAAATGATGACTTTTTTTTGTCTGTTCTCTCTCTCTATAATCAGAAGCTGTGTGTGTCTGGTCGTTTCAGACGATAAAGGCTCCTACTTAGCTGCTCACTACAGTCTTTAAATTCATCCACTCTTACATTCACTGCTTTTCTTCATCGACTAATGTGCCGTTTGGAGAGACCAAAATAAACCGCCCCCCACACACACAAGAGAGAGAGAAAAACCAAACATACCTGCAAATGGCTTTTGACATGAGCTAATGTGAGATCCTTCACATCCATGAGCTCAAGAACTGACTTTGGTGTAGCTCCTAAAATTCATCATCTAAATACATTAGCCAAAAGCCTAAAAGAGGAAAACATGAAGAAGAAAAACAAAAAAGAAACCTACCTAACAGTCTAATGCACATTCTTTCATTACAAGAAAAGAAGATATTGTATAAACTAAAGTCAAGTTTGAAAAGAAAAAAAAAATTAAAAAAGAAGGGACCGAAATTTGAAAGAAGAAAACAGTGGAAAAAAGTTGGGGGAAAAAGATAAATAATTTATCTTTACTTTCATGGCCACCGAGAAGCTCCACGGCATGAACAAATCGAGCGTGTAGTGTGCTTGTCCACCGCATTCTTGGTGCTCTCATGCTTCTCTTGGTTGGCAACTTAGGCAGAAACCTTGATCTCATCAACCCTGAAGAGGCTTCGTGAGAGGGTCCAAGTCCAACCCCATAGTGTGATGATGAATGATGATGGTGCAATGGATGATGAGATTTGAAAGGCTCACCGGAAATTCCATTAAACCTTGTGGCTGCGGCGGCCCTATACGCTGCGGCCGCGGCGACAGATCCTGCTGAGTTCAAATAGGACATGGGATCCAGACCTCCTGCTGCAGCGGCCGCAGCGAAGTAGGGTGCAGGAGAAGAAGAAGGAGAAGAAGAAGAAAGAGGAGAACAAGAGGAGGACAAAGAGGGATATGTAGGCATGTGATGATATAAACACATTTTGGCTTGATGATCCTTGTCTCTTGTATGTTCCATGGGCAAGAAAGGGAATGAACGGTTGTGATACACCGGAATCCCCTTGATTGGCCTCAATCCTTCCGATGACACATCAAGCAAAGAAACCCCATAGTTTATGTGATTCAAATGAGTGGAGGAGCTTGTAGAAGTGTTTGTTGTTGTTGCTGCTGCTGCTTTTGAAGCAATACTAGTGTTAGAATGGTGATGAAGATGATGGAAATGGGCCTGTTGGGTTTGATAATAAGGGTTGTTGTTGTTGTTGTGTGGTGGTGGCGGTGGTGGTGGTTCTTCAAGACCTCCTCCTCCTCTTCCTCCACCACTGAAATTCCTTCCAAGAGAAAGCTCAGTGTGAGCTTGAGAAGAGAAATTTGCGCTTGTTGAATTGTGTGGCTCATAATTAATGGCGGTTCCACCAGATGTGCTGCAAATCAGAGAAGAGGAAGAGGAAGTGCTTGGTGGACTTATGTGAAGGGAAAGATCAGGTGTAGAAGAAGTTGAAGTGGGTTCAATGAAAATCCCCTCCAAGGGCATCTTCTTTAGAAGGGTATATAGCTTGATGGTTAGAGAATATATATGAGAGTAAAGGGTAGAGAGTGAGATAGGTTCTTTTCCTTTATTAAAATCAGATTTTGAGACAAAACAATTAAAGTGCAATATTCACAGGCAAGGAACTGTGTAATCCTTTTGTTTTGTTCTTCCTCAGCTGTGCCTTCAACACATACACAATGAAATCAATTCTTCCTTTGCTCTTTTTAGGCTTTCCCCGGGAAAGAATCTGGAAAGCTAACTCTTGCTATCTGCGAAGAAAACTTTGTGTGCTTTTCAAAGCAACAAAAACAATAACAACAAGAAGAGAAGAAGAGAGAGAGAAAGCTAACAAGAAAAGGAAGAATGAATGATAGCAATCTTTAGTAAACAAAAACAGACATACTCAAGAGAAAGCGGAAGAGAGGACGGTAGAGAGAGAAAGAAAGAAAGAAAGAGAGAGACAGATAGATAGGAAGAGATAGGAAGCAGTGATGTTCAGCTAACAGTGGAGAGATGAGAAGAGAATTTTTATTTTATTTTATTTTATTTTATTTTTTTAATTTTAAAGAATTCATGGAAGAAAAGAAAAATGGAAAAGATTACCAGAAAGGCATGGAAAAGAAAAACAGGTGGATTTGCATTTTGTTTTCCTCGAGAGTATATCTCGGAAAATGACACTAGTGAGACGTATGATACACAAACATTTTTTTTTTTAATGTGTTGAAGGAATTTTAATTTTAAATATTTACAAATGAGACATTAGAGGATAAGAAGACTACATATGCGGAATTTCTTCAATTTAATACATGTTATAGGCGCAAGCATCCAAGCTAAAAATGAAATTGACGTGATCAAGATATATATGTATGGTTGGTTTAGATGAAAGGAACCCCAAATTTCATAAACACGTGTTCTTCAGTTTAATATGCATTTCATTTGTGTGGGACATTAAAGACTACAGGAGCTAGGTTTCCATTCTGACTTTACTATTTCTTATTGATTCAAAAAGTTTGAAATGTTAAAAAAAAATTACAAATGGGTTAGTCAATAAACTTTATTCCTTCATCTTCATTTAATGCTTTGTATTTTAGAACAAATAAATAACATATACATTCCCCTTATATTTACATTCAATTATAAATTATTATTTGATTTTTTTTGTTTTATTATAATTGTTTTAAATTTTTATTAAAAAATATTTTTAATTGGATGATATTTTTATAAAGAGTATAAAGACATCAGAATTCAGAACAGAAATCATTAAATATGTTTTTAGACTTGAATTTCTGTAATTTTTCACTTTAATTTTTTTTAATAGTTTCAATTCTTAAACTTTGTCCATTTTCACTTTAAATTTTTGCTCTTTTGTTCTTGCTAATATACTTTTGTCCTTAGTATCAAGATTTTATGTTATGGAATCAAATTTTAAGAATTAAAACCAAAATAAAGTTGTTAAAAGACTTAAAAATGAGAAAATGAAAAAATTGATGAACTAAAAACATATATGAGTGTGCTCACATTTGTGTATATGTACGCGTATATTTATCCTTGAGGTGTTATTAATTATATTCATTATGTTAAAAAAAATTATAACATAAAAATTAAATTATGTTACCCTCTTTTAAATGATTATTTAGAGTATTATATTATGATTTTCGTATTATATTAATTTAGAGTATTTAATTTAATATTACAAAATAAAATAATCATTATAAAATTTTAAAATATATTTTTAATTTAATTATTAAAAAAATGTACTTTCAATTAAAATATATTTTAAAATATTTTTAGTTCACTATATCATTCATTCACTTAATTAAAAAATATAAATATATAATTAAA